GTTTAGGGATTTCTAGACTAGTTAGGAAAGTTTGGAAAAGAGTTTAGGCTACAGATAGGCTGATTGGATGTTTAGGAAATTCTAATGGGTCTCAGAAAAGTGAAATTTCCGGGGCAACCCAGTAAGTTATCCTAAAATTGCCAGTGAAAAAACCTGCAAAGAGCAAGTTTTTGTTTTCGCTTTATGCTTGTATCTCAGTGAATTTTGATCCGGTTTTAACAAATTATATATCAAAATGTTGGTCTCAGTGAGCTGAACAACTTTTGAATAGGTAAGAAGATATATTTAATTAGTAAATTATGTGTAAATGGACAAAAACCAAAAACTGTGTTTTTGGAACTTTTCTCAGCAACCAAGTTTTATTGGGGAATAAAACACAACCGCCTAGAAGGGAAAAGTGTGCTGAACAACGTTACTTAAGAGGTCAAGTAAGGTTTACTTAGTAGAATGTTGAGAAATAATCAAATGTTTTTTTGTAGTTTTGGTATAAGTGATCTACGGAAAGAGTTGCTTTATAATCTTTCATATATGTTAATAAGAAAATATAATAATATAATCAAAATAGTTACTAATCAACAAATAGGGTATATAAAAGCAGAATTAAGAAAAATGAACAAAAACTAATAGGACCTAAAATGCTAAAGAATTTAGAAATAGAGCTAGTTAAAATACAAAAGCAAGAGAAATATTAGTTAAGAAATAATAGAGATTTTGAAAAGAAATATATCAAGAAACAAGAACAAATACATATATACACTAACAGTATAGCAAATATAAAAAACAAAAAAGTACCAATAAATAGAAACATGAGTATAAAATGAGTACAAACAAGTAAAGTACAAGACTGGTCAAAAAAAGAAGTAACATTAGGGATAAAAGAATAGTTAACATCTACTATAACCAAGATGCTAGCAATATTAATAGATAGTAATGCAGCAATCAGAAACATTAGTATAGGTTTAGAGTATATATATAGAAATGAAGTTCTTAAGAGAAAAAATACATTATAGATATTAAAGATAATTAATATAATTAGAATAAAAACATATAGATAGAGTAGTTTAAAGTAAAAAATCATAATAAGAACAAATGGAATGATAAAACTAATAACTTTACAAAAAAAGAAATATTATACAGAAAGATAATATATTCAAAAGAAGTTAACTATAAAGAAATATAGTACTATCTTGAATGAAAAAATAAACAAATAAACTTATTAGCAAAACTTTTATGTAAGATAGTAACAAATGTTAAGTTAGAATTAGTGTAAAAAGAAACAACAATGATTAAAAACCTAGAACTAGTAACAGAATTAAAGTTCTATGATTGGACATACTTTAAAAAAAGACTAAAGTCAACTAAAGGAGTACACTATATAACAAGAAAAAGCAGTGTAAAAAGAAATGCTTTTATAAAATGTATATTGGACAAACCTTCGACCCTAGAAGAACTTAATAGAAAAAAGCCAAAAATTTATACAAATACAGAATACCAAGTTTGTCAAAGCAAAGTCAAAGAAATGCAAGCATATTTGACATCATGTAAGGTACAAGCAAGTCTTTGGAAAGGAATACAGAAAGGATCTATTTCAACAGCATAGAAAGATCTAAAAGAAAAAAAAGCTAAGTCCTACCTTATATATTATATATAGCACTTTTTGGAAAAACAAAGATAGTCAGATATTACGGTAATGCCGGCCAAATAATCTTATTTCGGGATCATATTAAAAATCCCGCACGTGCCCATCTCTAATTGCAATCAAGAATATGGTTTCCCATGACTGAAATGGAGTCGGCGTAGATTTTCCCGTTCCTGGTTTCGCGTGACTGCGTTGCGCAGCTACTTATGAATAATAAGCAAAGGTTAATGTCATATAAATTGATTTAGGCCATTAATTTTGATTTATACGTGATACTCTATTACCTTTTGCTTCAAACATGAGTTCAATCGCATGTTAGTACGTAAGACAAAGTCGCACAAATTTATAATTGGTCCAATTGAATTTAAAATTTAGTATTTATTGTAAATATTTGTTATTTGTTTGTGCGTTTGTGCATATTTGTGTACATATTATATTGATCAGGTGTGTAAGGTTAAATGTTTGATAGACTATTAATATTTCTTTTTTCTGATTTGAAATTAATCCAAGAAAACCAGGTTTTGCAATCTATCAATAAGCATTGGTATGAAATATATTCTTTATTAACTCTAAACCTATTCTTTATCTTAATTCCAACCTTAATTCTAATATTAATCCTAACTTAACGATAGTACCAATGTATTATTGTCTAAATGTTTTAATATAGATTTCCTCAAAATCTAAACTAGTGAAAATATGGAATTTGAACGGTATTTAAAATCTGCTAATGATGGAGATCCAGATGCACAAATTAATGTTGGAAATTGTTATCGAGATGGTATAGGTATATCTAAAGATGAAAATGAAGCATTTAAATGGTATTTAAAATCTGCTGAAAGTGGAAATCCTATAGGACAATTTAATATAGGAAATTGTTATCAATATAATATAGGTATCACTAAAGATGAAAAGAAAGCATTTGGTTGGTATTTAAAATCTGCTGAAGGTGAAAATCATGATGGCCAATTAAAAGTTGGTTCGTGTTATCATCATGGTATAGGTATTTCTAAAAATGAAAAAAAAGCATTTGAATGGTATATGAAATCTGCTAACAGTGGAAATCCTAAAGCTCAATTAGCTGTTGGATTTTGTTATGATGATGGTATAGGTACTTTTAAAGATGAAAAGAAGGCATTCAAATGGTATTTAAAATCTGCTGAAAGTGGCGATTCCAGTGGTCAATATAGCGTTGGATATTGTTATAGTGAGGGTATAGGTACTTTTAAAGATAAAAAGAAGTCATTTAATTGGTACTTAAAATCAGCTAAAAACGGTCATCTCTATGGTATGAATAATGTTGGACTTTGCTATGATCATGGCATAGGAACTTCAAAGGATGAAAAGAAAGCATTTAAATGGTATTTAAAATCTGCCAAAGGGGGTGATTCTGACGGCCAATTTAACGTTGGTGTTTGTTATCATAATGGTATAGGCACTTCTAAAGACGAAAAGAAAGCGTTTGAGTGGTATTTAAAATCCGCTGAAGGAGGAAATCCTGATGGACAATACAATGTCGGATTTTGTTATGATGATGGTATAGGTGTTTCTAAGGATGAAGGAAAAGCATTTGAATGGTATTTAAAATCTGCTGAAAATGGAAATTCCTGTGGACAACGCGATGTTGCATATTGCTATGAAGAAGGCTTAGGCATAACTAAGGATGAAAAAAAGGCATTTGAATGGTATTTAAAATCTGCTGAAAATGGTGACTCTGATGGACAATTCAATGTCGCCGATTTTTATCGAAGTGGAATAGGTGTTTCTAAGGATGAAAATAAAGCATTTAAATGGTATTTAAAATCTGCTAAAGGTGGAAATTCGAAAGGACAATTTACAGTTGGAACTTGCTATTATGAAGGCATAGGTATTCCTAAAGACGAAAAGAAGGCATTTGAGTGGTATTTAAAATCTGCTAAAGGTGGAATTTTAGATGCTCAAGTAAACGTTGGATTTTGTTATGATGAGGGAATAGGTACTTCTAAAGACGAAAAAAAAGCATTTGAGTGGTATTTAAAATCCGCTAAAGGCGGAAATTCAAATGGGCAATTTAATGTTGGGTTTTGTTATGCTGAAGGCATAGGAACCAATGAAGATGAACATAAAGCATTTGAGTGGTATTTAAAATCTGCTGAAAATGGAAATTCTGCAGGACAGTATAATGTCGGGGTTTTTTATGAAGAAGGTATAGGAATATCTAAGGACGAAAAAAAGGCATTTGAATGGTATTTGAAGTCCACTGAAGGTGATGATCCAGATCTCAATGGACAATTTATTGTCGGACTTTGTTATCGAAATGGTAAAGGAGTATCTCAAAACCAGGAAAAAGCTATTGAATGGCTTAAAAAATCAAAAACCAATAACCATGAGCAAGAAGCCTTTATCTCCGAAAATGCTGACGCTGATGACCCTATAAAAAAGATTCTTCAGGATGAAAATATTTATTCATTGTCATGGATTCCTTTCAAAGAATTAAAAATTATAGAAAAAATTGGGAAAGGTGGATTTGCAACTGTATATTTAGCTGAATGGGTGTCTGATGATGTAAGAAATTATGTAGCACTGAAATTGCTTCATGGTTCACATAAAAATTATGAAATATTTTTAAAAGAGGTAGATAAGTATTTAATAATTAAATTCTGTCTAAATTTATTTTACTAATTTTTTAATGGTATTACAGTTAAAGATATATTATGAAATTGAAAGCAAAAACCCTACATTTTTAAAATTCTATGGGATATCGAAAGATGAAGATGCAACTGGTGATTACATGTTAGTTATGCAATTTGCATCGAAGAAATCTTTGCGTGAAAATCTTCACATAGTTGCACAGATGGAATGGAAAGATAAGCTAAATTTGCTATCCAATATAGCACAGGATCTTCAATTAATTCATTCTTGTAACATAATTCATCGAGATTTACATAGTGGAAATATATTACAAAATGAACTTTATAGTGCATATATTGGTGATTTAGGACTTGCAAAATCAATTGATCAAGAATCAATAAAGTATAATGATGTTTATGGAATTATACCATATATAGCACCAGAAATTATATCTCAAAAACCATATTCATTAGCAGCTGATATATATTCATTTGGAATAATCATGTGGGAAATATCTTCTGGAGTGTTGGCATTTTCAAATAAAAAGCATGATTTTCATCTTCTTTCAGAAATTTGTAAGGGAACAAGGCCTAATGCTGTTAAAGGCACAACACAATGTTATATTGATCTTATGAAACAATGCTGGGATAATAATCCAGAAAAACGTCCATCAGTTTTAGAAATTTGTGAAATAATTCGATCTTGGATTAATAATGAAGAAATTTTTTTAAAATTTAAAGATTCCGATAATATAATGAAAACCGTACAGGCTGTTGACATTAGTTCTCAAGAATCAAAAGAAATGCATCCTGAAGCGATTTACATGTGCAGATCCTTCAACTTTTATACTAGAAGTATAGAAAACATAGAAGAGTTTTTAAGAAAACATTCTAAACCTTCTAAAAGACAAAAATGCTAATATCATCTAATACACAATTATAATTCAATGTTAGAACTTATTATGCGAGATTATTTCAAGATAGTATAAGCATTTCTAAGGATCAAAAATGGTACTAATATTATAATTAACAGCTCTAATAGGTTCTATTGAACTTCATTGCCAACTCTGAGCCTGATTCTGAATAAATTATTTTATTATATCTAGAGATTAAAATCGATAAGTTTCTTAAACTTTAGATTGTTAAGCGTTAATAAAAAAATTTTAAGTAATTTTTAAATGTTTAGTATAGTATTAAATTTATCAATTGTACTATTACAACAACATTACTTATATACAATTTACACTAATCAGAAATAATAAAATAAATTATTTTTACTTTATGTTTTAGAAATATTATTCTATTAAATAATTTTAGTTTTAATACACAATTTATATTACTTATAATTTGTTAATCAGAAGTAATAAAATTTATTGTTTTTCAACTTTCTCAACTTTATTTTTCTAAAACATTTTTCTAACCTCATAATTCTAATATTTTTTTTTCTAAGAAGACATATTTCTAAAATCTATTTTGCTGCTTTAAATTTTTTTAAATGCTTGTTTCTAATATATCTAATTTTTTGACAATATAAACATCTACAATAAGTTTATTAACCATTTTTTTTTCTAACAAAATTCTTTTTTTAAACTTCTATTTTTTCAAAAAGAATTTATTTCTAATGGTCTTTTTTTTAGCAAAAAGAATATAATATTTTTTTGTATTTAAATTTAGCAAAAAATTTATAAATAAAAAGCTTTTATCCATATATTTTTAAAAAAATATTAATAATATATCAATCAGAAAATGATTTTATAAAATTAACTATTGTAATATTTATTAGAAAATTTATTAATTAAATAATATTTTAAAAAAATAAGATATTAAATTTATGTCTTGTCAGTAAAATGGATATCAGAATTATAGTTTCAAAAATTAATCTCTATAATTATTAAGCTAAACAAAATCTTATTTAAATTACTAAACAATTTTATATAATGTTAAGCTTTAAACAACATTCTTATCTAAACCTAATTTTTATTTTTAAAAATTTAAAACTTATAGCCATAATATGAAGTATTTAAAAGTTTAATAAATATTATTTTAAATTTAAATTTATCAAATTCCAAGTTAGTATTTTGGATTATAATTACAGATAAAAACTTTTTTTATATACAATATAATAGAATTATAGAAATTCTAGTAAAGAAAGCTAGAACTATTATGTTAAAATTATATAACTAATATTACATATTAGTCTATTATATTAGTTATAATATGAACATTTTTATAACAAGAAATTTTTAATAACTATTAACTAATTATTAATTATTTTATATATTAAATGTAATATAAATCAATTTTATATTAATAATCACAAAACTCTTTTCAATAATCACTTAAACCAAACTAGCAACAAAACAGTTTGAAGAGTTATGCTTTTAAGTAAATAAAATCTTTGATTCTGTTCTAATATATAAAGCAGATTGTTGCTAATGAACTAAAAATACATAAAAAAAACCAAGGTGCAGGTGACTCTTTTAGTAGTTTGTGTTGAGGTCAAACCTTGCTATAGGCAGACTCCTCAATATGTTTAGTATCCAAACCAGAAGGAAATTTTGAAAACAATAGAAAAAACTCTAGTTAAAGGTTATTAAAGACTTGAAAACAGAACAAATAACTGGAAACACTCTCTTTAGTTTGACTCTTTGCATATCATAGTTATCAACCTTTTCATAAATTTCATTTTTTTTATTTAAAAGTAGGAAATTTGGCTTCTCCTTTACAAAAGATCAGTATTGTTTACCTCTTTCTTTTTTAGACAGTTATGTGTTATAACATAATATAATAGGAACACAACAATCATATGTATAACCTAATATATAGTATAATGAAGAAATAAAGAAGGATTTAAGTTGGAGGATTATAGTAAATTAGAGATATATAGTAATTTCTAGAATCATGTATATAGAATTTTTACCCCTTTAATACAGGTTAAAGTGTAGTTAGATTCTTAGTACAGGTTTAAAGTATTAGTAACCATACTGAAATATTTATGAATAAGATATGCTTCCTGACACTTTTATTTTTTTTTTCCTATATCTTTTTTTAGTTTAGTTCAGTCTTTTTTTTCTTTCTTTCACTTTTTTATGAGAAAGTGTTATTAGTTTGGTAATACTCTATTGTAGGACAGTAGTCAGAAATAACCTTCCAGATAGTAACTTGTTATTGCCTAGTGCAGTAGGTCACTTCTAGACACTTAAGGAAGCAGCTGAAAGAGTTGGGACTAAGAAATTAAACTTGTAGTATTAGCAGAAGTATTAATCTTTTCTTAATAAAAGTTTACCAATACGACTACTTAAGTGAAAAAAAAAATATAATATAAATAATCTTTATGTCTATTTATAAATCAAATAAAATTATCTAATAGATATATGACTATTTTTATCTGATAGATTAAATAAGTTACTATAAATATTTCAAGTACTAGATTATCTTATTAATCAAAAAAAATTAGTAAAATATTATAGTATTAAAATTAGAAATGTAGATAATCATTCTGTAAATTATATATACTAATTATTTAGTATATTATAAACATTTTGTTAAATATAACATTAGAATTAATTATAAAAAAACTAAATATTTTTTGTATAGCTTAAAAATAAAAGACTTTATATTATAATTTTGTTAATTTAACTTGTTTTATAAACAAAGTAGAACAATTTAAAAATTATAGATTGTTAAAAAATTTTAATAATTATTAAATACAACCTATTACATTATTGGTAATTTAAAAATTATTAAATTGAATAATTAAATAATTATAAATTGTATATATATAATTTTTATATCAGATATAACAAAGTATTGTTTTAAAAAAATAAATTGAGATGTAGTGACTTAGTGAAGTAAATAAATTGTTAACTTCTCAAGTTGTAAATTGGATGTTCAAATTCTATTAATAATAAAAATTTAAATAATTACCTATGTAATATTTATATTATGACAACTGTTTTTAATAATTAGGCTAAGATATTTATAATAGTAGTTGCATTAGCATGACTGCTAAGTTATAAGACATCTATAAAACTGATTATATAAAGAAATACAAATCAATATTAGGTAATGCAAACACTAGATAAGTTCTTTTAGTTGTATAAATTTGTTGAAATTAAAAAACAAAAGTCTATTTAGAAGATCTAAATAAAGAGATAATATAGATTTTTGACAATATTACTATAAAGATTAGACTACTAGAAACAGATACCAATGTCAAAGTATTCAGATAAGCAAGAACCTCTAAGTTAAAAGTCTTGAAAATATTATTAATAAGGCTGCTAATATAAACTAAAAAAAAAAAATATTAGGCAAACTTGATATATTAATGGACTGGTTGTAGTTCTATACAGGTTATCTGAATTGAGAGTTTAAAAAACTGACTAAAGTACTAGAGTATATTATAAAATAAATACCAAAATTCAAGTAAATTTTACAAGAACATAATAGTTAAAGATAAAATTCTGACTATTAGTGTTAGTTCTGCTATAGTAATACCAAGTTAGCTGTAAAAATAGATATAGAAAGTTCTAAAAGATTTTCTCAAAGATAAAATAGTTCTAAGATTGAGATGATGACTGAACATATTTTATTAATGTTAACACAAATACAGATTCAGAGAGTTTAAAATAAAACACTCAAGCAAGAATGTTAGATACAGCAATTAGTAAAAAACTTTCAATTAGATTTCTTAAATAGGTGATATAGAAAAGTTATACATTTAACCAATTGTATACTCTTTTTATAGTAGTTCACAAAAATCATATTATTAAAAAAATCATTAATAAAAGTTAAAATATCAAAGAGATTATTTTAATAATAAATAATAAAAAATAAATTAAATCAGAGTTGGCAATAAGTTAATAATATTTAATGATAATGTGAATGAAGCTTAAATAATTAATATTTATTGGCTTTATTTAAAACTTTATTGAGCTTTATTAAAAACTATTACTAATTTAGAAATTAGAATAGTACTTTAAATTTAAAAAATTAAATACTTTTAAACTGCTTTATATAACTATATATAATTTATAAACTTGCATGTCTATGAAATTATATAATAACTATGAATAGCAGTTTGAAAGATAGGTTGAATAATACTTAATATTATAGAAAATTTGATAGTATTGTTAAAAATTGGTTATTCTATATGATGTTTTATAACTAATTATATTATTATTAATCTAAACCAATTTTTAGAAATAGAAACAAATTAATATCAATATTGTTTAATAATAATTTAAAAAGTAAAATTCTAATTTAGTGATAACAATTTTAAAAATATAAATAACCAAATTAGGATAATTTATATGTAATAAAATATAATAAGAATTTTTATTTAAGCTTATTAATGAAAAAAGCATTAGTTTTTATATAAAACTTATATACTAAAAAGCTGGTTAAAAGTCTGTTTTACAGAATTTATCTAAACTTTATTCAAATTTTAAGTTAATCTATTTTATATTTTATATTTATTTATTTAAATTTATTATAATATTATATTTATTATGTAATCTTTAATATATTAACTGACTAACTATGCAATATAATAAATTAATTAATTAAGCAGATTTGATATAATTATTTAATATTAAGATTAATACTTGCATAAATACTTGTAATTTAGAATTTTACTGATAACAAGTTTCAATTAATAGTTGTATTACAATTACAAAAAGCAATTATAAAAAAAGTATATATCTAATTACTTATACAATTTTAATTATTATCTAATTTAAGTAATTTATAACTAAAGTTCTATACTAGTTATCATATCTAAAACCTATCTATAGATTCTTTATTTAAATATTCTAGTTTTTGTATTCATTTACCTATTTACCCACCAACTGGCTCAGTCATTATTGATACAAATATGATATAATTATAAAATTTTTAAAATAGTTTACTTACATGAGGAACTTTGATTTTGTACTAAATCTACTGGAATCTTCTGTATTTCATATTTACAATTGATTCAGTATTGCTATGACTAAGACTAATACTTGCAATTAAAACTAACTATTAAATTGCTATACCTTTATAAAGTTTATCCAAATTCTAGTACCTATTATTTTGACATCTCCATTATCTCTTATTAACTACTATTTAAAACTGACAGACTTCCCAAACTACCAATCCAGATGACCTGATGTGATATATTTCTGTATTCTTTTTCTCTGACAATTTCAACAACCGGGTTTGGTTATATGCTTTTCTTATATACTTTATTATCTGATTTATCAGCCTGTCTTTTGGAAGATGGTTGTGAACTTTTTAACATAATTATCTATAATACTAGATATTGTCATTAAATACAGTAATTAAAATTGATATAAGGTCTTGAAAAAGACTTATGATCTCTGTTATTATTAAATACTTTATAAAGAATCATTATCTTGTGCCAATACACTGGTTATACTTCTCAATTTTTTGCTTATAATATATAGATAAGTGTGCCGCTTTAAAAGTTTCATATTGAATTTAGAACCATTTTTATTTGCAATGCCGCATGTATGCGTAACGTACTATGATCAAAAAGTCACTATCACACTACGTAATACAAATCAGCTAGCCAACAATATCGTTACACGTATTAATGCATTTAATCAGAATTAAGATTTTGTAGATGAAGCTAAATTCGTATTTGACCATACATTCCATTTCACTTCGTTTCTGGTATAATTCAACATAGTGATTCAAACAAAAAGCTATATATATTTTTTTGTTTTTGTACATTCTTATATAAGCCACATGCTGTGCTTAATAGTTACTATTTTAATAAAATATATAGATAAATAAATAGAATGGTAAATATATTTTATTAAATTTTAAATAAAAATTCATTAGGTATTTATTTATTTATATTTATTTTTTATCCATTTTTATCTGTTTCTATCTGTTTTTATCTGTTTATATTCGTTTTTATCCGTTTCTGTTCGTTTTTGTCCGTTTCTATTCATTTTTACTCGTTTCTATTCGTTTCTAAAAGAGTCCGATCATTAATTAAATATAATTAAACTAATTTATTGATTAAATCCTTGATGGTAAATAATATTATAATAAAAATATCGATGTTTTAAAATTATTGGTTAAGATAATAATTGGCTCGTTTTGAATTTTTTTTGTCTCGAAATAACTCCCCGGGGTGTTATCTCGCGACACTACAGTACTGATATTATCTGATTCTAAAATTTGTTCATTTAACAGATATTACATTTACTTATGTAAAATTTTTTACAATAACTTATTATAGAAATCAGATAAAACTAACAACCTAAACTAATATTATGTTGCTGAAATAACAAGTAAGTTTTACAGCAAAATTTTTACAGTAACTCTAAAATCATATTAATGCTAACATTAACCACATACCGTACACTGGAATAGCAAGTTTAGTGGCAGGATTTTTTACAGTAATTCATAGTAAAAAATATGAAAAATTCAATACAAACTATGTGTTTGTTATATTAACATGTAAATTCTATAACTAATTTTTATAGTAAATAGAAATTGTTATTGCGATAGCCGTTAAATTCTGTATAAGATGGATGACGCTGCGCGCCACCTATCGCACTAGCATGATTGATAGACAATTTAGAATCAATGAAATTCCCCACTAACGTTATCACAAAATCGTAAGGTCACACCTTTTTGCAAACCACTATAATCGCATTGAAAGAATTAATAAATTCTTTCATATGAAAATCAATTCTCAAATTAATTTGTACCGCTATGGTTACAGTAATACAAATTTTTGAATTCTTAAAAAAGAGATAAAAATCTAGCGTCAAATCTTTTGTATCACCGGAGAAATAAGTAAAATTTCCCCGATTAGTAATTATATTTAGTAAATGATAAATATTATCATCATGCTGAGTACGAAGAAATCATAACAAATCGCCCATATAAAAGTCAATTTGAAAGTACTATTTAATACTACGTTACACTAAGAACAGATGTTATATACTATTATTTTACAAATACATAATTTGATTTATTAATATATGAGTATAATATTCAGCCTTATCGAGGAATTTATTTATTTATTAGTCAATTGAATTATTTTCATTGAATTATTTTCATTGTAAGCTTACTTTTTATGGACAGACAAAGCCTCAAACTAACATGTCAGATTTAATCTTAAAAATGTTATCACCACTGGTGATCTCCAGTATTGCTATATTTCTAACGTACTAAGAACCAGTGGTCAGATATACAAAGCAAAATATCTAACTCTATCTTTGTCTCTAAATAATGAAAACTTAAATTTAGTGTTGAAAACCACTGAAACTTTGTAAAAATTATTCCGGTTAGAGTTTCACAATTAATATGAATTAAACATTACGTAATTTAGAGTCATAGGGTTTGATGTTTCGTTCGTACATACGTAGATAAATGGAAATGAATTCTTGTGAAACCGTTCCCAAATTCGTTATAAGTGCACATGATAATGAATCGAATTGTGGATTTAATCAAATCGACTAATCAGATTGCAAAAAAAGGTGTTGGATTAAAGTGGATTCAAGGATGTAAAAATCATTTATCCGGTTTAATTATTCAAATTTATAAAAGTTATACTACTTGAGCTTTCTAAAAAAGTATTTTAAAATGTATAAAAAAGCAATCCAATCAATTGTGCAACTATATTTCATTATTTGGAGTACAGCCGGAAATACTTATTTTTGCGAGTGATGCAAACCAAAAAAGAAAATTCAATGTAAAAATCAACTAAGTTTGTGAAATTAGAAATTTAGAGTTAGGACGTTTAAGTTAGAGGCGATAGAAATAAATAATTATTACTTATGTAAATTAGTGCTCCAAAACGGGTTTAAACAATCATTTTCTTGTATTTTCGCTTTTTTCCTGTTTTCCTTCTACAAGAGAACCGTTGAAGTTACACAACTTGTCCTTCACCCGGTAGGCAACGTATAAAAAATTATTTTACAATACCAGATCCAAAACCATTTTATTATAACTAGATATTGATTGATAAAATTAATGATCATCAATTTAAAAATAGGTGCGGACATAAACACGTCTATTATTCCCGAACAATAAAGATGGTGTTGGATTATAATCATAACGTGTGATAGCAGAATGATCTGGTATTGTAAATAATTTTTTTATATGTTGCACACCGGGTGAAGGATCAGTCGTGTAATATCAACGGTCTCCTTCGTTTTGCTCACGTGTCGAGCTGATTCGGGATGATCACTTAATACGTTCTCCGATTGGAGGTATATTGATGATTTACATCTGATAATTCTGATAATCTTAATCAAAAGATGTGCCGAGCACATGCCAACTTTGTTAATAACTATCTCTGTATTGTAAAATGTTATAATAGAAAAATTATATATAAGATGCCTGAATCATCAAAGAATTTTTTTTTTCTTGTACTTAAACGTATTTAGGTTGATTTTATCGTAATAATCAATTTATTCTGTCGATAGTACATAACAATCAATTCACCTTTCGAAAAACATCCTTTGCATTCCGGCTAATTTTAACGCTAAGATGTCTGGATCAGTTTTTCCACACCAAAAAAATGACCTTGATTGTCAAGGTGAAAGTAAACTTGTAATTCGGAGAGGTGCATATACTTCAACTTCGTGTGATATGTGTCGAAAAAGCCATTGCAAGTGCTCAGGAGAGCCAAAATGTGCAAGATGTATGATCCTAAACCTTCTTTGTGTCTATAACAAGTCTCCACGAAGACGCGGACCAAAACCTAAAGTAAGGATTCAAAAAATCATAGCAATGGAGAGCCTTATTCAAGCATTCGATGGCCCAAGAAAAGATTTAATGATAGATTTGACAAATTTGTTCAACAAGTTGGTTGGTGCTGATTTGTTCAACATGTTGGTTGGTGCCGGTTTATATCATTTAGAAAGTCCGCCACCAATTCAAATTGAAGGGACCGCTTTGTCCTTATATATCAACAACGCTTTCTATAACATGCCCACCGGAATTAGTGAGATTGATTTATTAGGTTCACAAAATATTCAATCATCAATCAAGGAAATTATTGATAAATTCATAAACAAGTTAAAAGAGATTATTATTAATATCTCGACTGCTTAGGTTCTTAGCTATTATATTCTTGGATTTAAAATTCTTTAAATTGGAATCGACTTAAGTTTTTTCAGATCTTAAATGGATTATATATCAGATCTATGGTATCGAAATTTTACGATAATAATCATCAATGATTATATGATTTTTATTGCCTCAAAGATTTCTTTCGTACCTACAAACGGACCGTTTTCGAATGAAGGTTTACTTTTGGGCACCTTTTCTTATTAATTGATTTATTATTATTATTATTATTATTATTATTATTATTATTATTATTATTATTATTATTATTATTCATTATTATTATTCATTATTATTATTCATTATTATTATTCATTATTATTATTCATTATTATTATTCATTATTATTATTCATTATTATTTATCGTTTTTTCAATATTCTGGCAAGGAATATTGACTATCTGTATCAACATTTATTTTTAAACACTACATTCTTAAAATTTAAGTAAATTGGGGATCTAGTATCAATTTACATCATATTTTGATTATTATATCAAGATCAGAGTGTATTTAAATTTTATTGCTGAATTTAAAAGAAAAAAAAGCAATTTCTTAGTATTTAGGCCTAAAATTTATGTAATAAAATATTTTATGAGATCATGCATTTAATTAATTGTTCTGTTATAAAAATGTAAAATTATCCTTTATTGCATTTGTACATCAGTAAGTACTTCAATAGGATTCTTAAATGATCTCTCAAATACTAACGTGTGCGCATGAATGTGAAACTGTGCAACGGCTTATTAAAATTATTAACATTGTTATGTTGTGTATGGGTTTCGGTTTAACTTCCCGAAATCCATTTTTCTGAAATACTATTTAAACAAAGTCGTTATACCCAAAGTTTATTTTACTAACAGGACAGAAATAGATCTGTGTCATTTCACCAAAAATCAAATAATCGAAAAGTTTATTTCACTAACAATTATTGTAGTGGCTGAAGTTGGGATTGAAGGTCTCTATTTAATCTTTAATATCTACTAAACTTTTCTTGAAATCTTTTATTAATAAATTACCTCTAAATTCTAACCTAACTCTAAAAAAAGGGCCAATATAAAAGCTTTTAAAATTCAATAATAAAATATTTCAAAATCTTAGTTTTAGTCAATTTCAGTTCAGTCACTAATTACTTAACAGTTCTCATTCAATGCTTTACTATGGCCAGTCTATAAAATAAATCGATAATAAAATTAATGATCTTATTTCGTAAACTGAGGAATCATTGAACAAAACCGTTATTGTATGTTCCTCTATGCATCAACTGTTGTATTTTATGTTTTCTTCTAATCATTCGGTAACTCAGCCGTACCAGTTGGGTTACCAATCAATTATCATCCCTCATAAAATACAGCAGTTATTGCATACTTCGCATGCAATAACTATATATTATTTCTGTTCTGTTAATAAAATATATTATCAATATTATGATTTGGTAAAATAATATTTCAAAAAAATAAATGTTCTTATAACAAATTGTTACATGTAACAATCTCAGATTAGTTAAAGTTAGGATTTGGATTGCATAATTTTTAGTTATTTTTATTGACTAAACTAATTGAGTTGTTACAACTAAATACATAATAGGTTGTTACAATAGATTTGTTCTTTTAAACAATAGACTTCAGAAAAGTGAACAACAATCTAATATAAACAAATAATAGAATTTATATATAATAACTTGATAATTTCAATAAGTACTTGTTAGTAGCAATACAAATGGTTCAGCTTAGCTTAGCTTATGGCTTGCATTGACTAAGTCAAGCCGATCTTCTAGTCCAAAGGTCAGAGCCAAGTCATTTATAAGCTGATTAATTTCAAGCCAAGCCAAGTTACAAGTCACTATTCTATATAATGAAACTATTCAATCAGATACAAACACAAATTCTAATGTTTAAAATTATTTATATAACATGAAAGTTAGCATTCAATTTTACTTTTATATATTATACTAACACAGATTTAGTTCAACCTTATAATTAAAGCAGGTTTTACTAGAATTTAGCACAGGTTTCACTCTAATAAATTTCGATTTACTTAATTAAGCTATTATCTTAATGTTATTTGAACTATCAAATAAAATTATAATATCATTAATTATTTTCTATTGAATGATAGTTATGTACTACTAATTAATTTGTTTTTATCTTTATATTAACATTAATGATCTAGAGCTAAGTCATTTTATAGTCAATACTTTATTAGTATATTCAGAATTAAGCTATTAATTGGCTTGATTTAGTTATTTAATTTAAGCTATTTGCATTATTATTTGTTAAATTTTTTTTTATGATATTAAAGTGACCTCTTTAATCTTTTAATTTTTTATTAATACTTATATCAGATACAGATGGATCTATATTAAACTTTCAAATGAGTGTACAATTGGGTAGTGAAGAACCAGAATTATGATGACCAGACCCAACATACAGGGCAGATTATAGTATCCTCCACAGCTATATAAGCCAAGCTTAAAATGATGAGTAAATCTGTAGATGACATTACAAATACTATCTCTATTTTCAATGCTTTAACCTTTACAGAGATAGACAAATGCTACAACAAATTTATAAAATACTATAACTTATCTCAAATACTAGAACCAGTCATATTTGACAATTTTATTCAATACTTATATAACAATCTTTATCCCAGTTCAATAAAAATATCTATAAACCTTAACAAAACAAAAATACATATCTATTTAAATAATGTAGATCAAATATTACCAAACCATATTACAATAAATCCTTCTCTTTACAAAACATATGGACACCTACCTTTACTATCTAGTCTCAATTGGAAAATATCTAATACAAATTCTAACTTCTTTTTTATATCTAATCAATTACCTAATTCAAACACTCCTACATTATCTTTAATCACCTTATCATTAATTTTATTTGAATATACTTCTCTTTCAATTAAAATTGGTTCAATAAATATTAATGGTCTCTCACAAGCAAATAAAAAACTTACTTTAACTGAACTCTTATAAGAAGAAAATTTTGAAATTTTTGAACTTTCTGAAACACATCTATTAGTCAAAGAAAACAAATTTTTAAGCAATCAAATTCAAAACTATGTTAGTTTCTAGAGCTTATATACAAATCCTCATCAAGCTGAAGTTGAAATTTTTTGTTATCAAAAAATTTTCAAATATATCACCAAGTCTCATAATTTCAATAGACATATAATTAGTCTTGATTTTTATTTTAAAATATGTCAATCAGGCTTATTCAAATATACTTCTCAAGTTACGAGAAAAAACAAGTTCATAAAAAAATCCAAGATTATTTAATTTCTCTTACTCAAAATAACAAATACAAATTAATTATTATAGGAGACCTAAATAGTGTACCAAATCCAAGAATTGACAGATTTTCTTCAAAAAAATTATCAATTCCTAAAAGTTAAATCATTCAATACCTAATCAGTTTTCAATTTAAAGATATCTTCCAAATTTTCTATCCAAATGCTTATAATTTTAGTTTCAGTCATAACAATATACAAAGCTGAATTGATCAAATTTGGATCAACTTACATCTGACATAATCAAATCAGATCATCACATTATACTCTAGAAATCTTTATTATAATTAATAAACCTAAACCTCATAAACAACATAAACACAAAGTCTTTCTCTGAAAAAATTGTACTAAAGAAAATCTTGAAAACTACACTGACTAAACAACCAAAAATTTTTAATATTTAGATTCTAAAATCCTATCAATTGCAAATTAAAATTAACTTAATATTATGTAAAATAAAATTCATAAAACATTAATTAAAGCTTTAACCAAACACATTCTTTTTAAAAAAATTAAAACAATCAAAGAAATTAAAGACTTACCTTCATCAAAATACTCTTCACATTATTTTCACTATAAAAAAATATAATTTCTTAAAAATCACATAGACTCAATTAATTTTAATACATTACTTTTCAAATATCAAACTAAATACTTAGACTGCTTCTTTTAAACACTTCTATATTCTCTAGTTCAAGTTAAAGAAGAAGTTCAACTTATTAAAACTGCATTTAATTACCAATATCAACAATTTATATATAATAAAATTAAAGAAAAAATAGAAGATCGAAACAAATTATTTAAAGAAACACCTAAACTTTTTTATAAAAAAATACTTGAAAAATACAACAATATTCATATTTATAGATTATTTTTTAATAATAATCTTCTTACAGAACATAAGGAAATTCTTAATGCAATTAAACATCACCTCACTGAGTATTTTAAAATCAATTCTCTTAAAACTATTTCATCATCTGAATACTTCTTATTATATAAACCATACTCTGAATTTAAAATCTATTATAAAAACCTCATTCATGATATCTGAACAAAAATGGCATAACCTAATTCCTGATCTACCTAATCAAAAAGCAGCAAAACCTCTCAAAACCTGCTATAAATACATAAAATTTCTAGACTCAAAGTACAAAACATCTTTCAACTCTTCCTAAACAAATGTTTTCAACTGCAGAAAATCTTTTCAGACTGAAAATCTTCTAACATCTTCTTAATTCCTAAAAATCAAACTGAGACTATACACTAAATCAAGTTCAACCAATCTCAATAATAGAACCTTTCAAAACGTTTTTACTAAAATATTTACAATCTGACTAAATAATATTATTTTAAGTTATAATCTCTTATCAAATTTAAACTTTGCAGCTATCAAAACCTTCTTAACTCATCTTCCTATATAAATCTTATATAATACAATTGAATATTACAAAATTAATAATAAAGAAATCTAGATTTTCTTTCAAGATATGTCTAAGACTTTTGATAAAATTAATATATCAAGACTTCAGAATACATGCAAAAGAATAGAAATTCTCTCAATAGGAATTAACCTTATCACTGAACTACATTCTAATCACTTTGCCAGAGTTATTATTGCTCATGATCTTACTTCTTCAATACCAATCAACTCTGATATTGAACAAGGTGAAACATAC